GCATGGTGTCCTTCTACCAACACACTTTTAACATCATCCGGGGAGCTTTCAGTTTCCCTATGGGATCTTCACACATTGGCAGGACTTCCATTGTCGAGATGTAGTGAGCTCGATCATGCTGACCGTACGTCTTGTGCTGTAAAAGCGACTAAGGAATTCGTGCTCCATTTGCTCCCAGCTATCGATGGAGTTTGCTTCTAAATCAGTGTACCAGTCAAATGCAACCCCTTTGAGGGAACGAACAAACTGCTTCACGAGATAATCACCATGGGTTCCCGCATCGTTGCATGTCTCAATAAAGTGGGTTATATGTTGCTTCGAGTTGCCTTTGCCATCAAACTGCTGGAACTTGGGAGGTTGATATCCAATAGGCATCCTCAAGTTATCGATCCTTGGTGAATATGGCTTGACGTAGCTGTGGGTTGACTTGGAACCACCATCAAGTTTATCCTTAATTGTCCCCATGATGAAATCCTTCAGTTGGTCAATGGGGATCATTCCCGTGGACGAATGTTGGAATGGAGTCTTTTCTTTTTCGTTATATTGCTCTTGCTTGGACGTCCCAGACTCTTCGTGATCTTCAGTTCGTTTGTCCTTCGCGTAGCTTGTTTCAGCATTGTCGACCTTGTCCATTAGCTTCGAGATTTGGGAGTCTTGCTCTTCGACCTTCTTTGCGAGCCCTTCAATAACCTTTGTTAAGCTTGCGATGTGCTCTTCAAGAGTTGAAGCATTGGTTGTCATAGCCGGAGCGACACTTGAGCTTGATGAAGAACTTGATGATGAACGAGGAGTTGAAGAAGCAGAATCGTCTTCATCACATTCGTGGGTAAGATGCAGCTTATCACTTCCAATCACCTCGTGCAAAGGAGCCGTCTCCGAAGATGCTTGCAGTTGCTTGGCCATGCTTCTTGTGACGACGCCGAGGTTGGAGCTTGAGGAACTTGTTGAAGGAATCTTGACTACGGCAATCTTGCGGCTAGTCATGATGACTTGAGGAACTTTGGAGAAGAGATGAGAGGTAGAGATGTCCCACTGGGCGTGTCAAAAATTTGTAACAACAAATTTTGTGAATTGAATTTAAAAAAAACACAAAAAATATTATTCAAATGAATTTCTTGAATCAAAATAATATAGCGGGTTACAATCT